GGAAGCTCCTCATATCGGATGATCCGGTGGAAGCGAGGAAAGTGATCGCCGCTGTGAGGGAGGGAAGCGAGGTAGTCGCGATAGAAGGAGGAGAGGGTGCGGAGGAGCGCCGCTCGAAAGAGTTCGTAGTGGCGACAGGCGGGGATTGTCCCTGTAGCTACGCAGTATACTTCTTCCACGTTGCATTGCTCCCATGCAGCGCTGAACAACAGGATATGCCAGCAGAAGGTGGGGGCAGAGGGTTGAAGGGATGGGTGGGGATAGACGGTTGCGAGTAGGCGGGTAGAGTAGAAGTCGCGAAAAAGGTGGGGAAGGAAGGGATGGGGAGGGAAGGTGACGGGGGTGCGGATCTGTTCGAGGGTGAGAAAATCAAGGGGACGGCGGGTTAACGTCCAAGGACGAAGGCCTATCACCCGCATTGGTACGTGGGCAAACTGGGGGACGGGTGGGGTTGGAGGAGGAGGGGATCGGCTCCGTCTCCGTCGCGCGGTGCTTGAGGTGGCGGCTGCTGGGTCGCCATCTTCGGGCTTCGGCGGCTCCGGATCCCTGGTCGGATCGTTACCGATGCGCAAGCTGGCTCCACTGGCGAATCCCGGTGGCAATTTCTTCGCGCCTTTGCGCTGCTTCCGGATCTTTCGCCTCCATGCCCGTGCGCGCCGCTTCCTCCGGCAAGGCTTCCCACTCAGATCCGGTTTCTTCTTCCTCCTCTGCTTCTTCTTCACTCAGCTCGCCCTCGCTATACTCGCTATAGCTTCCCTCCTCCAACGTTTCCTCGTCGTTGTTTTCTTCGTCGTCGTCGATCACCACTTCCTCCGCCTTCGGATAGAAGGCGTGAGGGATGATGTCGTAAGGCTTTAGATACTCCTGCCGTGATGGTAGAGTATCTTCGTCCCTGGGCTCCTCCAAGCACGCAGTCCACTGAAGGTACGGATCCAACGATCGCTCGAGAACGTACGGAGCAGGGCTATCGTCACTTTGCGAATAGATGTCAGGCGAGAGGTCGTCTGCCAATTGCACGATCGGCGCGATGAGCTCCTGCGCAATCAACTGGCGACGGCCCGGCCGTACCGATCCAAAGAGAAAGCCGAGAAGATCGCCTTCGACGTTAGTCCTCCAAGCTTGGATGATCAGCAGCTCCAAATTTTCGATCCACGCGGGATGCTCGCTGGTCTGCGTCCGCGTCACCTGTACTCGAGCCAAGCAGAAGGACAGCTCGTTGAAAGTTTCGCGCCACAACCGCAAATGCGCAGGGTTAATAAGCGGGACAGAGAGAGGTTCGAACGAGAAAGAAAGAGAAGGATGAAGATTGGATTGCCAGAAGGTGGGGAAAAGAGAGGGGAGACCGAAGATGGAGAGAGGAGCGAGGGGATCGGCGTGGTTCATTGGGGACGTGGGAAGGGGACGAGGGTGGGGATCGCAATTGGCGGCTCGCGTGGAGAACGACGGATGTCGCCAAGATCCGGTGCAAAGGTCGGGAGGAGATTGTGCCCTGGTTGGGCGAGACCGTGCTGCCACACGTTGGAGACCTGCTCCGTCCACTCTCGCAGCGAAGCCAAGATCGCGGTATGCCACCATGGGTTGACCGAACTGATATCGCCGCTGAACGCAACAACCGTGGTGACGTGGCTCGTTCCGGGAGCTGCTCGCCGATGAACTGCGATTACCTCCGCCAATACCACTGCGCGTGGACTCCCTTCGATTTGAAACGCGGCGGCGGCACACACACCCACGTCGCAGAAGAACTGTGCCAATCGCCGAAGATCCGTATTAAGTCATGGATGACATACTTGCCGAATCTTTGAGATGTGGTCACGTGGTTGCAACAGCTGTTCGTCAAGAGCCCGCTTCGTGATGAAACTCATGGCGAGGTCGGAGAGGAAGACGAAGGGCAGGAGGAAGAGCTCGAAGAGAGAGTTAGATGGTCGTTGTTTTCCTCGCTTTCCGAGGAAGACGGAGGAAGATCAGAGGGAGGAAGAGGACGAAGGTAGGAGGTATGCCGGACGATGGGGACTGAGCTATGGCTGGCACTAGCCTCAGGCGCGATGCGCACCGTGTTGGCGCCGTTAGGACCGAGTTCGACAACGCGAAAGCAACCAGAGAACTTGGGAGCGAGTTTGCGGTCGCGTGCACATTTACGTACCTGCACTAGGTCCCCTAATTTATATTGATGCTGGGGCCCAACATTTCTATTCTGAGCCTCGTAGCTACGGACCTGCCTACTGTGGGCCAGATCGGTCATTCTTTGTCTTTTTCGGGCTAGCTTCGGAACGGCCCGCTCCATTAATTCGGTGTACCTTTTGGCCTTGGCCTTGAGGGCTGTACGCGTGTCTCTACCCCTTGCTTCGGCAATTTTCGAGTTACCCCGGTAGTCGACACAGGGGAGGCTATTCGTACGAAGCTGAAAGGGGGTAAACCCCGTGGATTCGTGAGGGGTGGCCCGGTGGATCCCGACGATCTGATATACGATCTCGGGCCACGGACGCGTGTCGTGTACCGCTAAATTCCTGCGAAGGGCGGTTTTAATCATACGGTTGGCGTTCTTAGCCAACCCATTCGATTGGGACACGTGGGCTGCCGTATGTCGGAGCGTGACGCCCCTTCGTGCGAGCAGTTCTTCTACTTCTCCCTTAAATTCGGACCCATTGTCGGTTAGAATTTCTTCCGTATCTAGATGAGTATAGAAGAACCGATCGATGTACGTGGCTATTTCTGCGGCCTTGCGGGTCCTACAGGGATAGACCTCGATGTACTTGGAAAAATGGTCAATTAATACTAAAAGGATAGAATATTCGCAGCAGTTTGGGCCAGGTGCCACATCGATATCTGTTGTGTCCATACTGACTCGTTGGAAGGGATGCTCTACTTCCGTTGGTACTATCGTGTTTGGTCCCCGTATTGGGGCGCGATCAGCGGCACAAACCAGTTAGTTGTCGACAATGTATCTGACATCATCTCGTATGTTGGACCAGAACCATCAGTTCTGGTCTATAGTTGCCTCCGTGACACGTATCGCGAAATGAGCGGCCTGTTCTTCGTGAGCCGATCGGATCCAATCATAACTCTGGAATGGATGGGGAACCGTCAACCACGAACCCGATTCGTCAGTTTTACACTTCTCCAAATGACCGTTGATCCACCGATAGTCCCGAGATCTCTCGGTTGCCCTACGTCTGTCGTGTTTGGTGAGGTGTCCCAATGATAATCCCGCTAATTTTGCCAATAAAATTTTATCTGTCCAAACCTCCGCTCCTCGGTATTTTTCGTCGTATTCAGGACCGTCCGTACGAGCGGCCTCGAATCGAACCTCCGTGGGGAGTTTGTTCGTTCTACACAGGGGGCATCTCCATTCCTTGCTACTCGTCCGATATCGAACGCAGGCCCCGTGCGCACGATTGACACACGTGGCACATTCTATTCAATCGACAAACCCGGTTTCGAAAGGATGACAGTCGACCCCATAAACCCGTGCAATACACGTACAAAAATAGCAGAATTTATCGGGGAGGGTGGTAAAGAAAGCTGAGGAAGTAAGAGGGGCAGAATTAGTAGGAGAAGAAGGGGTTGCAGAGACAGGTAGGGTAGTCATGATGGCCGAGGAGAAGAGATGGGGCCGAATTGCGGAGAGGGTAGAATCAGACAAATTGATCCTCGTGTCACTTACTGCTTCAACAAGATCTCCACTTGGCCATATCGAGGTCCAACCTCCTGTTCGGGTTCGTTCCACGGAATCACCTCCTCACTCTTCGGAACTCTCTCAGGCCGGTGCAGTCGTGTCAGTCCGTCCGCATTCCCGTGTCTCTCGTGCTTTCGATGACGGATGTCAAAATCCATGCTCTGCAGCACTGTTGTCCATCGCCCGATCATGCCAGAGTAATCCTTCGATTTCTTCAGAGCCACATGGGCTCATGATCGGTTACCAAGGTAAACTTTCGTCCGTACAGGTAAGCGCGAAAGTAACTGATTCCCCAAAGAGCCGCGTAGCATTCTCCCGTCGGAGCGGCGTAGTTGCGTTTGCAGGCGGGCACCGATTTGGACGCATACTCCACCACGCTCTCGAGTCCACTTGGTCCCACTTGGGCAAGGATAACCGAAATTGCCTCCGGCTGCCAGTCAGTGATGAGAACAAAAGGCTTTTCGGGATTCGGTCTTATAAGGACCGAAGCCGAAATGAGAGCGGCCTTGAGTTTCGAGAACGCTTGATCACACTCCAGCGTCCAGATCAACGGTTGATCTTTGCGCAGCAGATTCGTGAGGGGTCTCGCGATCGATGCGAAGCCCTTGATAAATCTTCGGTAGTACGAGGCCAGGCCCAAAAAGACGCGAACTTGCGTGATAGTCGTAGGCACCGGCGCATCCCTGACAGCTGCCACCTTCTGGGGCTCTGGTTGGAGCCCTTTGTCTGTTACCACGTGTCCCAGGAAGGAAATGGTGGTACGAAAAAACTGACACTTCTCAAGCGCCACCTTGAAACCTGCATCTCGTAACTCATGCAGAGCCCACTCGATGTGCTGTACGTGTCCCTCGTAGGAACTCGAGTACACCAGAATGTCATCCATGTACACAATCACGCAGTAGTTGATGATGCTCTGCGCCAAACGAGTCTTCCGCACAAAATTTTGAAAAGCCATATTCATGGCTCGCTGAAAGGTCGTGGGGGCGTTGCAGATACCCATCGGACATCGAATCCACTGCCACGTACCTTCAAAAAGCACAAATGCCGTTTTCGGACGATCTTCTTCTCGGACAAGAAGATGATGGAACCCATGGCGAACATCAAACTTACTGAAAAATCGGGCACTCCCAATCGCATCCAACAACTCATCAATCCGGGGAAGGGGGTACACATCTTTGATCGTGATATCATTCAATTTACGATAATCAATACAAATGTGAATCCCTCCGGCCTTTTTAGGCACGATTACTACAGGAAAGGACCATGGACCTATAGCAGGTTCGATCCATCCATTAGCTTCGAACTCCTTAATCCGCTAAAAAGCGGCCGCTAGTATCGGTAAGGAGAGCAGCCAATGGGCAGATGTCCTCCCGTGAGGATGACATGCTCGATCACGTTAGTCAAGCCATATCATTATCATGCACGTTCAATACCTCTGCATAACCGTTCAAAACATTGATTAGTGACTTTCGAAGTTCCGCGGGGACGTGGCTTGGTAGGGTGATCGTTGATTCCCCAGGGGTCTTAAGGGGTATATCGATCCAATCAACCGGCCGCTCCCTTTGATCGTAAACACTGGAAAAGACAGAACTACTGGTCCGAACAGAAAAAACGGTCGCAATCATCTGTGATTCGGCGGGGCTGATCATTTCGGTTTCTTTAGCTTCGGCATCTGCTTCTGATTCTGCCGAAATCTGCTCCACAGTCAGTCCTGTTAGGTCTGTCATCTCCTGCATTAAATCAGGCACGTCATCTGCCGGCGCTTCTGCCTTTTGTTTAATCAAGGCGATGGTCGCCCTCGTCGTTAGTAATGGCCTGGGCGAGAAAACGGAAACATCTAGATATTGTTCCGTTTGTTGATAATGCGTTTGTAAGGAAAGTGCTCCCTCGTATAAGGTGCGACGGGGTTCCAATTCATCAGCCAGGTCAGACACTTGTAATATGGGTTCCCCTAAGAGGACTGAAGGACTGACCTGGGTTTCCGGAGGCACGAGTGTGCTGTCTCCATAATCCACGTGGAAGCTTCGGCTTGTGTCGAGGCACACTTGAAATTCTTTGGGAACTTCGTGTTCGAAAAGTTCGACCAGGTGCTTCCATTCATCCTCACTAGGCAGTTCTTCTTCGTATTCCTATTCCCTGATTCCGTTATCGATGTCCGAGGAGGAATACTCCTCGGGATCAATGCATCGAATCATCCCTATTTGAGCCGAGTTAGAAGTTCGTTTTATCGTTCGGGTAAAAATTCGCAAAGGAAAAGTCTGAGGTTTTCCCACAGTTTGCGTGAGCACCAGTTGCTTGGAATCAAAATGCAAACGTGCGCCTACCGCCATTGCCCAAGGTAATCCTAATAGTACGGAATAGGAGCGTACGTCTATCACGAGCGCGTTAACGAGGACGTGTACTCGCCCGACTTTCACAGCCACATTCTCAATAACGCCCACGATGTTCATTGCTTCCTCGTCGGCAGAGACATAATTGTCTTTGCCAGATTGAGGAAGAATGGATTCGAGTCGTCCCGTCTTCCTGACAGTGTCTAATGAGATAGCTACTGCAGAAGACCCTGTGTCGATAAGGGCGTTAAACGGTTTGCCCCAAACTTCACAATCACATTCCGCACTTTTCCACAGTACCGGCCGAGCTCGTACGAAGTGATTTTTTTCTACTAAAGAGATCGCTGCTATACGTGCGGCTTCGGGCTCGCAGGCTTCGGGTTCGGGCGGTGAACTTCCTCGCCTCCTTCCTTCTTCTTCAACATTCGCTGTATGTGCTGATAAGTGAAGCGCTTTTGATTTTTCTGGCAATGTTGCAAAAGTTTATCATTTGTCGCTTCAGATATGGTGAGCAGATGTCCCACCGGGATCGGAACACGGATATCCAATTGCTTGAGCGCTCGTAACACATCAATTTCTCCCGTCCGAAACTGCGGACCAGGATTGGACTCGTGATCGACCCATTCGA